CCCCTGAGGGGCAAAATTGTGTTCAGTTAAGAATCGCTACTATAGATACACAGCCTTGATGGTCAGCATCACTTCTGAACTATAGTTTTATTCTTTTTTTAATAATAAAGATCAAAACACCCTTGACCACACAAAGTGAAAACCACAACAATGACAAGCATTTTCTGCAAAGATACGAAAGAATAGCTTCTGACAAGTATCCAAATATTTATTGCTACCCTCAGCAAAGAACAAAGGAGAAAGTGACAGGTAGATAGAGCACATTTGTTTCTGGCTCAAATTAATAGGAAAGTACCCTGCAATCTCATCTCTCTCCTGTCTCTTGGGAGCATCTGGGGTCCCACTGACTGGCAAGCATCAGACCCTGGGGAAGCTACCTGCTGAGCCATTGCCTGGGCTGAGAGCTGGGACACGTCAGGTGCTAATTCAACACAACTGATAACATGAGTACACGAACAAGGAAACAGCATGGATACAACTTAATTTCAAGGTCCATTAGCAGCACAAAGCGGGGGAAATTGCACTTCCAAATGGAAGCCCTGGAACTCAGTGGGGACATTTTTCATTTTCACCATTCAAATGGTAAGAATAATAATAATGGTTGTTGTTTTTAAGAACAGCATCCAAGTTCAAATACACTACACACTTCAATCCCAAATACTGAAATGTGTTCCATGGTACAACCAACCTTGGAAGAATGCAGGGTTGTCTAAAGTTCACTTGGGACTAAATACCAGAAAACAGTCACGTAAGTTGTACCTGTCCCTTTTATTTTGAAATTGTGCTTTCCAATTGACCTTTCAATTGTAAGTGGTCACAATACAAAGTGGATGCTATCATCACATTTTTGTTATCAGGGATCAATCAATGATAGCCGGTTATTCAGTTGATGTTGAATGACAACTGGTTATTGAGAGTACAAATAAATGCACACACATACACCTGTTGAGAGCTACATAGTAGCACTGTCTTCTAAAATATCACAATCTAAAATTGTAACTATAACATCCCATGAAGGCCGATAGCACAGAATGTTCCATGTGAATCTCAGTCATAACCAACAAAAAATGCAGTCCCACTTCTTAGGTAGTGTCTGCTGAGGTCTGAGAAAGGGACAAGTCCCACTTTCAAGCAAATCCCTATAAATATAAATGAAAAATATGAACTATAAGGGAAACTCCTTCTGGTGGTAAAATCAAATGCTGCCCCCTCTAGTAGAATCCAATCCAATGTGGGTAGGATTTATGGTGTGCCTTTAACAGGTAAGGCTTTGACCAAAACACTGGACAGAACGAAGATAAATCAGACACTATCTCAGTCCTCAGAGGGTAAGCACTTTCATTATCAGGTATCTATACTTTTTACCTTCCTCCATATCATATACATGGCAAAGAACTATAAGCCCAATTCCATTCACTCCGCTACCTCACTTATGATTACAAAACTAGAGAAAAGCAGACTGGATCTTTTCAAAAATCAAAGCACATTCTAAAAGGAGAGAATTTTGACAAGGGAGCATTCAAGCCCTTTCAGGGAGTAAATCTGGAAAAATTAATTTGCTGTGTGATTGGTGGAAGGGTAGGGATTTTTAAAACTCTGCGTTTTCATTTCTTTGATTTCCCCTTCCACTTCAACAAGATAAACAGAACTCAAAAATGCAGTTCAATCTGATTTCTTGATTTTAATAAAGTTCATTTCCACCTAAATTCCTCTGCGGGCACATTCACTTTCACATTTAAAAAAAGCCCCACGGTGATAAATTTGTAAAGAAAAGCCATTTTTAGATAACAGCCACACAGAATATAGCTAAACAGAGAAAGGGGATACGGACACATGGACACACACACACACAGCTATCCCTTTAAAGAAAATAAATTTAACGAACCCTTCTTCAACTGCCATGGTACCCAATTTAAGACAGTTTATAGCCAACCAAAAGATATATCAGCAAGCAATAAGACACAACAGTAAGCAATCAGAAACATCAGTGAGCAATAAGACACCAGAGTCAGCAGTAAAGACACACCAGGGAGAACATTTCTGAGCAATTACCACATGTCTCTGTGCAGGAAGGGAGAAAGAAAAACTTGACTCCACTAGGATTGGAACCCCATAAAACTGAATGCTCTCACAGCTCAGAAGCCATTCCTGAACTGACAAGAGGAGTCTGATGACCATCAGCATGGCCATGGATCAGGAGGGAGGACAGAAAAGGCAGGAAGGGCTGCTCACAAAGGAGAACTGTCCACTTATGTCCTCATCCTTCTTTGTGGCACTCTACAGACATGACATAGTTGTGTGTGTGTGTGTGTGTGTGTGTGTGTGTGTGTGTGTGTGTGTCTGTGTGAATTGATTGACAAGATAAAAAGGACCCTCCTACTTCTGGAGGAAATGAAGGAGAATGCCCAGCACATCTATATCTATTTTGGCCAACACAGTGTTTATGAAAGGGATGCCTCTGCATGCTCACATACACACAGCCACCCCGCCTCCCACCTCCCTCCCACACACACAGCGACTAGCTTTTAGAAAGGTCAGCCAAAGGAGCAGACACTGAGAGATAGAGAACTTCCTTATCAGACAGATTATTAAATACACCAGGAAATTATCAGGTTTATTCTCTAGGAACTTTTATGAAAATGGTAGTACCTTCTTGCAGACTCATCCCTTTACCACAATTTATACGTGGTAGCAGGAGAGATGGAGCAAATACTCAGAATCTCTTCTCTACATGATACTAAGAGGTCTTAAACTGAGCAGAAGGGAGCTTCAGTACAAAGGGTTCCCCTCTCCCATGTACTTAAATGCAATAAAACTTGTGAAAACACTTCTCAGAAACGCTAGGAAGATTAAGTAAAATCAAGTATCTTGGAGGGTCAGGAAGAGTTTTACTGGAGGGTTGCTAGGTATCAGCTTCCTTTCCTTCCCTCCCAGTTTCTTCTGGGTCACAATCCATTTCTAGTCTATCTCCATATGACCCCTATTGCCTCAATCTTAGTCACCTTCAGAGTTGACCTTCTTGCAGGAAGCCTACTACAGTCATGTACACCTCATGATGACCACAGTTTGTGTTAGTTTTTGAATATATATTATTTTCCTAATTGACCAATAAAAATCAGAAAGGTATGGACTGTATCCCACACATATCTGAAAGATGAAAAAGCATGAGAATGAGGTTAACTATTAAAAGCATAATTCTAAATTTGTTCCCATTTCCCAAAAAGTAAAAAACAAAACAACACTCTGGTGTTTTAAATAGTATTAAAAACAGAGCATCACTAGCACATTTAGAGAAGTCCCACTCAGAGCCAATGACATAGAGAATGTGCTCAAGAGATACTTGTTAACTGGTAAATTAGCTCAATACACAGGACCAGTTTCATTTTTTCACATTTAATTTGAAAGAAGTAGCCACCAAGTCCTTCCCATTTCATTCTCAGAGGTCAACCCACGGCTCTGTGTCCTGTGACCTAAAACCCAGGCAGGAAAGTTTTTCTATGTGAGCCTGGCAACAAACAGGACAGGCAGAGGCAGCATGATCCTGGATCAGGGAAGAGAAGGACAGCAGACATGTTTACAGGAGTCCTTAAGCCACAGGACAGGGGAAAGCAAACTTAAAGGCAGAATTCCCCATCCTATCTCCTGAAATATGATGCAGAACAGGATGAAACCAGGCAGGACCTGGTTTTCTACTGTGTACAGGGGTGGAGGTGGAGACCAGAGAGGCAAGCCTTCAATTTATTAATAAGCAGCTCAACACAGTGGGAGGTTTTCTTGTCTAATTACAAAAGCTGTTGGAAGCTGCAAGGAAGACAGAATTTATGGCCTAGATGACACTGCCTCTGTGTTGTAATTAAAAGTTATTTTTAATACCTTTGTTTGGATGGATACTTTGGATTATTAGAAATATATTTTGCAATTTAAAACTTGCTAAAGGGCAAAGAACATAACAAAAAGGTAATACAACCAGCTTGCATAATGTGAAACAATTAAATGTTTTGACACTGGGAGGTGGGAGAGTAAAAGAATCTCACTCTCTTGCGTCTGAATTTTTATGAGAACGAGGGAGAGGAAAAGAAAGAAGCTTAAGTCTATGACACTAGATTTTTAGAAGTAGAACCTAGATTTCAAAATTAATTCAGTTACTTACTTTATCCATTACCCAGAGTTTGACTTCCACCCACCTGAAGTATAGACAGATTATGTACAACCATTCACTCAAAGCACCTAATCCTAATCTTTGGGCTCTTTGCTTTGTCCTGGGTGCCACAGAAGCAGTCCTGGCTCAAGCACAAAGACACGGGGGCTGAGCCCTGGACAGTGTGATGGTGGAGGGGAATCTGATGTGAGCAGTAGACACGACATGCGGTGTATACTGTGGGTTTTGTTTTTAATGGATTTTCCTTCTCTTATCAAAGATTCAAGTTTCAAGAGAGGAACAGATATAATGTATCCCAATGGGAATTGCACGGTGATGTCCATGAGTGGCCTCCAAAAGTTGGCCAGGATTAGGCAGGGGTCATTTATCTCCTGAATGTCATTTTCAGAATTTCTACTTCTCCATATAAACTGAGAAGGCATTTTCTGCAGTGATGGCTCTTTTCTAACAACAGGGAAGAAAGACTCTATTACATGTAACAGACTTAAAATTGTCTGATGGAGGGAGAGGAAGGAACTGTAAAGGCATAAGCTTGTCAGAGAAGTGATATATTGCATTTAATCCTTACTATGAATCTTCTCATTAGAAATGAATTCCAGGAGCTCATTATGAGCAAATGTGTCATAAAAACCACTAATATTACACAACATGTTGTGACTCTAAAGGTGTTTTTACATCTGTTGTTCAAAAATAAATTTAGACTTACCTTTACAATGGCCATACCAAGTTTATAGAATTTGTATTATACAGGTATCAGTAAGAATCACTGTGCTCCTTTATTCCTTTCCGATCCCAAAGCAGGGTTTGACTCCAGGTCAGGGCAGAGAACTGCCATTCTTACCTGCCACGTTAATTTTCTCAAGTGCAACCAAGCTGGGAACAGCTGTGGTGGAATTGGTCGAGTTTGTACCCGTGCCATTGACAACAAGATTGTCCACCTTCGACTCCAACTTGCCAATGCGCTGCAAAATGTTATCCAATAACACAGCAAGAGTTTTCTTCAGATCTGTAAAAGAAAATGCAGACAATTTTAAAATTCTTTGTCTTCTGCATATCTGTCTAGTTGTCTCACTGTCTTTAACATGGAGAATAAAACTTCTCAAGTGCTTCTGAAGTGGCACAAAAAAATCTATCTTAACAAACCACATCTTAGAGATGACAGGAGCCATCTTCAATTGGCCCAGACCCTAAACAAATCAGTCTGTTGCAGAATCTAAGTCTGACAATTATTATAAGACTATTTCAAGCTGCCAGTTGGACAAAGAAATCTCTTTGTTACATAGCATCCTACTATAGCACTGTACTAAATTCCTCCTCCTTACAGCACTATGGTTTCTGACACACAGCATGACATCCCAAAGGTGTAGCAAGGTCCCAAAGTCGTCTCAGGATCAAGTTCATTGTTATCCTTAGTGTTGTATACTCTAATATGTCCCAATTTTGTGTGAAAAGTGCTTATTTCTGTTGGTTACACATGACAGCACTATATAAAAGCTACAGCTCTGGATCTCAGGCCATGATGGATAACCTAGAGTTGACTATAATCAGATTTAGAAAAACACTTATAAAGACTAGAGTCATTCATTTGCTCACAGATATTTCTTAAATAACTACTATGTGTTAGGCATTGTACTCGATGTAGGGATAGTCTCTTATGCTTCTTACATTTAAAAGTTTATTCTCTTTCTTACACATCTAACTGTGTCAGAGAGTAGTGGGTTCCCTCTGGATAAATTACAGAAATGTTGTCTTTGTCCTACAGAGGCATTTACAAAGTTTGTTCACAATATATTCCACAGGAAAGTTTTTCCTCTCCTCTGGAAACAGAAGAATACACAGAAGAATACACAGACTTGGACAGTCAGAATGGATATGGGTAACAACATTGCCATCCATGGGAATGAAATCCCCACCTAAGAGGTGTCTAGAGAAAAGAGTACAGTATGGGCAGCAGAAAGAAGAAAAGCTCTTAGTGAAGACAAATGTGAAGTTGTCATCTTCCTTACTGCTGAAAACAGAGCAAACTCACTCCTGAGCAGACGTGGTAATCTGGCCAGGATATAGACACATACCTGTCAAGTCACCAGTCCAGCCCACTGCCAGGGAACCCCAGCACAGGTGCACTAGCCTGAACAACAGGTGAAGAGATTCATCTGAACAGAAACATAGCTATGAAATTAATGTGGAAGTTTATGTTCTCAGTGGTTTACAGACAACATCACTTGAGCTAACTAATACCATATCTTTATCTCGAAAATCTAGTTCTTGGCACAATCTCATTCCAACACTAAACATTAGACTTCCTCACAGTGTTAAGATTTGTGTTCATTCATTCATCTGCTAGGCTCATTTTTCACTCTTCTGTATCTCACCTGTACACTGTATTGTAATATTTTTAAATTTTCTGCACATTATGACATTTTGACATCTTAGAAAACCTTTCTGGTTGGAAAGAGAGGAATCCTCCAGGGGCAGCCAATGCTTAGAGATAACAAAAGGCTCAGTCTGGAGCATTTTTGATACACAAATTAACCAATCCAGAGCCATAACTCCACTAATTGGCCCATACAGGAGACCATGTTCTTCTGCCTTTATCAGCCCAGGGCCAGGTACCAGGAAACAAAGACCACTCTAAGAGCCCAGAGCCCACTGAAATTACTCAAAACATAGCCAATCCTAAACTGTTCAACCCCAATAAAGGCTTTGACCCAGACCTTCTCTGAGCTCCTGTCTTCTGCCTCTGGATTACCTTGGTGTCTTTCCCATGAGGCCCTGCACTGCATGCCATAACTCCTGTCTCTTTGAGTATAATGTATTCCTGTGATTTTGTGTCTCTTCTTGTGGCCACATCTGCCTGATCAACTCATGAAAGAATTACAAAACATACACAAGCTAGCAATATATAAGCGATCCTGCTTTATCTTCACAGGTAGGTATGACTACATTTTATAGATGAGAAAACTGAAGTTCAAGAGATGAAGCAATGTGCAGGAAGTTACAGAGCTAATAAATCAGAATAAGACTTGCATCGGGTCCACCTAACTCCCTCATTCCTCACTGGGACCAGTTGGAAATTAAGAAGTGGGTAGAAGCCAGGCTTGGTGGCTCAGCCTGTAATCCTGCACCTTGGGAGGCCGAGGTGAGCGGATTGCCTGAGCTCGCGGGTTCGAGACCCACCTGGGCAACTTGGCGAGACCTCATCTCTACAATAAATCAAAAAATTAGCCGGTGTGGTAGTGCGTGCCTGGAGTTCCAGCTACTTGGAAGGCTGAGGCGGAAGGATCGCCAGAGCCCAGCAGGTCAAGGCTGCGGTGGCTGGGAGCGGCCACTGCACTCCAGTCTGGGCGACAGAGTGAGACTCCAACTCAAAACAAAACAAAACAAAACAAACAAATAAAAAAGAACTGGGTAGAAAAAAGAAACCAAGGGTGAAGTTCAGAGTCTTTCATCCATGACATAGTGCTTAAGGGCCTATTTGAGAGCCAGACTTCCTGGGATTGAGTCCTGGCTTTCTATTCGGGTTTCCTTATCTGTAAGAGTGATATGAGTAAAATTCTCACTTTGGGGTTGTGATGAGGACTTAATGAGTTAATATTCACAACATGTTTTAGGCACTGCATAACAGCCTAATAAATATATAAGTAAAATAAAATCTTTCTCTGGAAAATGTTCTCATCCTTCCTAAAGAAATCTCTCCTTGGGTGATGCAAAGCTTTACTGCTTTATCCAAAGGGTCATGAGATCACTCTCCTCTGAGGTCTGCAGTCCCACGGTCAGCATGACTCAGTCTGTCACTAGCACATTATTAGCTGGCATGGACAAACCGGAGTCAGTCACCCGCTCTGCTCTGTCACTGAGTCTAATGCATTAACTGGCTCTCTAGAGTTCTGAAGACTGCCAGAGGCCAGTCTCACAGATGGGGGCAGTCCTGTCAGAGAGAAGAGGCTATGTTCAGTATAAAGAAGTACTCTTCAGATATAGGAGATCAATCTCTCCCATTTCCAGCCTCTGCCTGGATCCTGTATCACCAGCCAAGTAGGATCCGAATGGAATCTAGAATAGCATTTAACTGTTACCGGTAACTGTAGCGTAACCAGACACAGAAGTCCCAGCCCTCTAGTGTGAGTTGACTCAGGGTCTCTCAGCCTTGACATTCTGGGCTAGGTAATTCAGTGCCCAGTTGTAGGGACTGTCCTGTGCACTGTAGGATGTTTGACAGCATCCCTGGCCTCTACTTACTAGATGACAGTAGCAATTCTGCTAGTGTGACAAACAAAGATGTCTCCAGACACTGCCAAATATCCCTTGGGGGCAAAACTGCCTCCATTTGAGAGCCACTGAGTTAGGTACATTCTGCTAACCCTTGTATTCCCCATTGCCTCTCTATGGAAGTATCAAGAGAGAAATGCAGTGCAGTGGAGAAGCTATGGGATAGAATCTGTAAGAGTGAGAACAGCCCTCCCACCCCTCAACTTGCATCATGTGTGGCTCCCATTCACTGGAGGCACTGCTGCAAATACAACAGGAAGTAGCAATGGCAGAAGTCGCCGTCCTCCCTACGGGAGAGCTAACAGAGAACCAGCCCAGGCCAATGGATTCGTAAGGGCTGTTAACCTTTAAAACCACATTAAAAGACAATAACACAACTGGACAGAGTCCCCAACCCATAGTCATCCGTGATAGTCACTGGTGGAACACACCCAAGCAGGATACAAAGTTGTCACACTCACAAGAAGATATTCTTCCTCAATTCTCAATTTACAGTTCACCAGTTAAGTCTGACCTACTATCTCTTACTGACTTTGCCAGATTGACCCTCTGTGACTCTGTGACATGGTGTGAACAAGGGAATTCATGATGATGCGTAAGGATGCTGACACTCACTGTCACTATGACCACCCCAATACCACCACCTCCACTTATTGAAGCCTTTCAACTGCTAACCACCATGCTGAGCACTTCACATGGATTAATTAACTTAATCCCACAGAATAATCTAGGCAGCATGCTGTTCCTCCCAACCCCATTTTACAAATGAATAAGCCATAGCACAGAGAGTCTAAGTAATTTTCCCCAAGTGATCACAGATGAAGCATTCAAAACCAGTCTGGCAGGGTTGATGGCTCTCATCCACCACACTTTGCTGCCACATACCTGCCCTAGGCAAACTGCTTCTGGATCTACTTGTCAGGGATTAACCTTAGAGATTGTGTCATGAGTCCTTGTGAAATCAAATCCAAAACAATCCTCAGCAAATAAAAAAAAGCAGGAGGTATCACACTCCCAGACTTCAAACTTTATTATAAAGCTACAATAATCAAAACAACCTGGTATTGGTACAAGAACAGGCATATAGACTAATGGAATAGAATTGAGATTCCAGAAGCAAAACCTTAATTTCTCAACCAACTCGTCTTCGACAAAGCCTCTACCACCAACCACTGGGGAGAGGAGAACCTATTCAGTACATGGTGCTAGGAAAACTGGCTGACCACATGCAGAAGATTGAAACAGGACCCCTACCTATCCCCATACACAAAAATCAATTCTAAATGGATCAGAGACAGAAACGTAAAACCTCAAACTAAAAGAACCTTAGAAAATGCAGGAGATACTCTTAGGGAAATTGGAACTGGCAACCAATTTCTGATCAAAACCCCAAGTGCCCATACCATAAGAGATAAGATAGACAAATGGGACCTCATCAAACTGACAAGCTTCTGCAAAGTCAAAGAAATCATCAAGAGGCCAGGGAGATAGCCCACAGACTGGGAAAAAATATTTGCCAACTCTATGTTTGACAAAAGTCTAACATCTAGGATCTACAAGAAATTTAAATGTGCTGAAAAGAAAAAACCAAACAGCCCCATTACAAAGTGGGCAAAAGTGCAACCTCTGTGGAAAGCAGTGTGGCGATTCCTAAAAGCTCTAAATATCGACCTCCCATATAACCCCGCAATCCCCCTACTGGGAATATCCACCTAACTCCACTCAGAATGGCCACTA